TTCAAAGAGAAAAAGTGTTTAATACCAATTAATAATGCATTTCTCACCACCACTCTGACCTCAGCCCCCTCTCTCTCTCCTCTCTCACTATCCTTCCTCTCTCTCCTCCCTCATTCTCCTGTCTCTCTCTCTCTCTCTCTCTCTCTCTCTCTCTCTCTCTCTCTCTCTCTCCTCTCTTCCTCTCCCTCTTCCCTCTCTTTCCTTTAGATCATTATAGTTTGCAATACAGGTACTGAAAGGTTGTCATGTATATCCCTTCCTCTCCTTTCAGCAGTCAACTCTGTCCAGAGTGATTGTTTCCAACTAGTGTTCGCTTCTTTGTCCTAACTACCCACCTCCACTTGCTGTAAGCTTCCAATCATGGACCAGTCTTCCTGACCCTCAATTCTATTGTCTTTGGATGTTAATCTTCCACAATTTTTATATCCCACAAATGAATGGAATTATTCTATGCCTATTCTTTCTCTTGGTCTCATTTCATTCAACATGATACTTTCCATGTCTGTTTATTTATAAGCAAATTTTATAACTTCATTTTTCCTGGTAGATGAATTGTGTTGATATACCACAGTTTCTTTATTCAGTTATCTGTTCTTGAGCACTTGGGTTTTTTGCAGATTCTGGCTATTGCGAATTGTGCTGCAATGAACATAGTATACAGATGACATTTCAGTATTGTGTTTTGAGTCCTTAGGGTATATTCTTAGAGTTGTATTGCTGGGTCTTATGGCAGTTCAATTTCTAGTTTTTTTTTATGAATGCCTATATTGTTTTCCAAAAAGGCTTAATTCCCACCAACCTTGAATGAGAGTCCCTGCCTCCATGCCTGCACTGGTTGTTCTTGTTCTTTTTGATACATACCTGTCTCTGTAGTGCAAGATGGTATCTCATTGTTGTTTTGATTTGAATCTCTCTATGATTAGCAATGTAATCGTTTTTGCATGTGCCTTTTGGCCATTTCTATTTCTTCTTTGTGGAAGTCTGTTCATTTATTCTCTCATTTTTTGATAAGGTTGGATGTATTTTTCTAGTAAAGTTCTACCAGTGCCTTATAAATCTTGAATATTAACCCCTTATTAAATGGGTATCTTGCAATAATTTTCCCATTATTTGGACTCTCTTTGTATCCTTGTCACAATTTCCTTTAAGATGAAGAAACTTATTAATTTAATGTAGTCCCATTTATTTAACTTTGCTTCCACTTGTGTGGTTAGTGCTGTTTCATCTTTAAAAGTACCATTAGCTTCACTTCTGCACCTCAAAAGAAACAGTAACCATAATACAAAGTCAATCTACAGAATGGGAAAGAACATTCACCCAATACCCATCTGATAATGGGTTGATATCAAGGATATACAAAGCACTGGTTGAACTCCACAAGAAGAAAACATCCAACCCCATCAAAAAAATGGGGTGATGAAATAAACAGAAACTTCTCAAAGAACAAATTCGAATGGCAAAAAGGCACATGAGAAAATGCTCTACATCATTATCATCAGGGAAATGCAGATCAAAACAACAATGAGATATCACCTCACACCACAGAGACTGTCCCACATCCAAAAGAACAAAAGTAACTGGTGTTGGCACGAATGTGGTGAGAAAGGGACTCACTTCACTGCTGGTGGGAATGCCGATTGATTCAGCCATTTTGGAAAACAGTATGGACGATTCTCAAAAAATTAGAAATTGAGCTCCCATTTGACCTAGCAATACTGCTCCTGGGAATATATCCTGGAGAGGCAAAAAGGTATAGTCGAAACAACATCTTCACTTGTATGTTCATTGCTGCACTGTTTACAATAGCAAAAATTTGGGAAAAAACAGAGTGCCAGAGAACAGGTTAAAGAAACTTTGATACATCTACACAATGGAATACTATGCAGCTGTTAGAAAAGATGAAGTCATGAAATTTGCATATAAGTGGATCTACATGGACAATATCATGCTAAGTAAAATGAGTCTTAAAGAGAGGAACAGATACAGAAAGATTGCACTCATCTGTGGAATATAAAGTAACAGAATGGGAGACTAACACCCAAGAATAGTTGAGATAAGTACCAGGAGGTTTGTTCCACAGCTTGGAAGCCAGCAGCACATGCTGGGGGTGGGGGGCGGGGGGAGCAGCTCAGATAGAGAAGGGAACACCAAGTAAAAGGATGTTTGGAGGATCCGTTCAGGATGAGAGATGCATGCTGAAAGTAGAGTATAAACCTAACATGATGGCCATTCAATACATCTATTGCAAACCACAATACTCTAAAGGAAAGAGAGCAAGAGGGAATGCCCTGCGACAGAGGTGGGGCAGGGTGGGCGGGATGGAGTGGAGGGGGGGTGGGGGGGGTACTGGGATTATTGGGGGTAGAGAATGGGCACTGGTGGAGAGATGGGTACTTGATCATTGTATGACTAAAGCCCAAGCACAAAAATTTGTAAATCTACAATTGTACCTCATGGTGTTTCATCAATAAAAATTAAAAATAAATAAATAAATAAAATAAATTAAAAAATAAATAAATAAATAAAAATAAAAATAAATAAATAAATAAAAATAAATAAATAAATAAAGGTACCATTAGCTTCAATGCCATGAAGGGTTCTATCTATATTTTCCTCTGCATGCCTTAAGGATTAAGGTCTGATAATGAGGTCTTTAATTCATTTTATCTGACTTTTGTGCATGGCATTAGAAAGAGATCTGAGTTTAGTTTTTTTGTGTGTAAAAAAAAAAAAAAGGTAAAGGCCCTCCCTTTGATCGTCCATTTGCTCGAGCGGGCCCAGTAACGTCTCCATTGGAGACTTTTGTTGTTACTCTGTCTGGCATATCGAATACTCTCGGTAGCTTGCCGGGCTCTCCAAGAGGGGCGGAGGAATCGAACTCGGGTTGGCCATGTTGGCCGCTTGCAAGGCGAACACCCTACCCGCTGTGCTCTCGCTCCATGTATGTAGTTACCCAGTTTTCCCAATAGAACTTGTTGAAGAGGCTTTCCTTGCTCCATTTCATATTTCTTGCTCTTTCATCAAAAATTAAATGAGAATCTGATTTTTTAGGGGCAAACAGAATAGAACTTATCTATTTGATGTTGAGACATTAAAAATCTACAGCAATCAAAATTATAGAATTTTATTTTTTTTAATTTTTATTAGTGAAACACAATGAGCTACAGTTGTAGACTTACAATTTTTGTGCTTGGGTTTCAGTTACATAATGATCGAATACCCATCCCTCCACCAGTGCCCATTCTCCACTGACAGGCCCAAACAACTCCTGGAATTGTGGCAAACAAAAATTTCTTAACTGGGGCAAGACTTAAAGTAAAACAAAAATGAATAAATTGGGTTATTATCAAAGTTAAGTCCTTTTGTTCTTTGTAAATTAAAACATTAAAAATTTCAGGAGTGAAATATTTGCAACACTTATAACTGATAAAGTCATGATACATAGCATATAAATAAGGTTTTCGTCTTGGTTAGAAGAGAGATTATACAATTTGTCAAATAAGGCAAGAGTTTGCAATAGACAATTCATAAGACACATGGCTGTCCAATAAGCATTTAATAACATGGTCACCATCAGCCATTTGGGGAAATGTAAGTTCAAACCACATTGTGGTATTACCTCACTCCCACAGAATGACTGAAATTAAGGACTGGCAATATTAAATATTGTTAAAGATGGAGAGTAATTGGAATTTTTGCACACTAATACATTCAAAGTATAAACAAAATAGTATAATTACTTTTAAAAACAGCTCAGAAGTTTCTTAAAAATCAAAAAATATACTTAGCATATGACACAGGAATTATACTCTTAAATGTCAACGAAAATGTATGTATATGCAAAACATTGTACATAAGTGTCATAGTAGTTATGTTCAAAACTGTCCAAACCACTGCACTGAAATCAATACAATGTGCATACCAAGTGTATGAATACACAGATATTGGTATATTTATGACATAATGCCCTACTTAGTAGCACAGTAGAACCCCCATTGTTCATCGATTTGCTCGAGTGGGCACCAGTAACATCTCAAAATAAATTGTGAGACTTGTTGTTACTCTTTTTGGCATATCGAATACGTTACAAGGAGCTTGCTAGACTTGGCGTGAGGGCGAGATACTCTCGGTATTTTGCCAGGCTCTCTGAGAGGGTCGGAAGAATCAAACCTGGGTCTGCCGTGTGCAAGGCAAATGCATTACCTGCTGTGCTATCGCTCCAGCCCGCATTATTTAGTAATAAATAAAAAATTATTTATGGTCTGCACCATTACAGAGATTAATACCACAGATATTATCCAGAAAAAAAAGAAGTGACTAAGAACATAGTATTTAATTTCATTATGAAGTTTAGAAAAAATAAAATAAATTTATGATAATAAAAATCAAATTACCAGTTCCTTAAACATTATTGGGACGAGAAAGAAATGGACTCAAGAGTTACAAGAGAACTTTCTAAAGAAGTGGGGATATTTTTTATTTTGATAGCTATTTTTCATAATGTCATCAAATTGTATATTTTAAATATGTTAACTTTATTATATAAAAACCATACTCCCCAAAAGTTGATTTTTTTCACCCTAACAATAGTATTGTCTTTTATTATTTTTTTTATTAAAAAAAATTTTTAATAGTGAGACATCATGAGGTACAGTTGCAGACTTACACATTTTTGTGCTTGGGTTTCAATTATACAATGATCAAATACCATTCCTCCACCAGTGCCCACTTCCCACCACCTCGCATCCCAGTATCCCTCCCACCCCCCATCCCCCGCATCCCACCCTGACTCTGTGGCAGGGCATTCCCCTCTGTTCTCTCTCTCCTTTTGGGTGTTGTGGTTTGCAAAAGAAACATTGAGTGGCAATCATGTTTGGTCTATAGTCTAAAAAGTTGATGTTTTTTAAAGCTGACTTTGTTAACACTTTGTTAGATATTATTTACATTATTTCATCAATAATATGAAAGCTATATTCTTCTAGAACAAAAGTTAGTCTTAGAGCTAGAAATTTTTCTTCATAAATTTTTGTGTCATTCTTGCTCAGGGGCTGAGCTAATACTCTCTGTATCATTCGAATTTAGTATATGTGTTGCCAAAGTGAGCACAGGGCTAGAGAATTTTCAGAGCCCATCTTGCAGATATTCTGAACAGTATTCTCTTCAGATCAATAAATTCAATATTCTTAAGTAGTAAAAAAAGTCATCCTTTTAACACTACTAAATTAGATAATAACTGGGGCTATAAACAAATTCTAAAGGTTCTCAAATGTACTTTTGATATAGAAAATTGTAGGCATATACAGAAAGAAGTACAGCATAATAAATCTTTATCTACCTATCATCTAATCTTAAATGCCATATTTATAAGGGCAGTATTATTTTTCTATAGAATTATTATATTCCTTTTTCCCAGTCATGCTAAGAATTACTTTAAAGCAAATACTTGTTGTCATGTAATTTTTTTTGTTGTCATGTAATTTTATTTATAAATCTTAGACGCTCCAAAACTGTGGTTCATTTGCTCATTCTTTCTTCTCTGCCCAAAATGCTGATTTCTTTGCCCAGAAAATGTATGACTCCTTCACATCTGTCAAATGAGACGATTCAAGATGATCACCCCTGACTTCCTTATCAAAATAGCTCATTTTGTACTTTGATTCTGCTACTTTTGTCCTGGTATTTTTTTTTATGATTTGCCACTTTTAACCACTAGCTCTTGTCTGTCCTCTCAGCTATAATCAAACACTAATGGTTTGCATTAGTACAAAGTTTGCTGTGAGTAATAAATGGTAGACCCCTGTCGTTAATGAATTGCCCGATCAGATAATCAGTTCCTATTCAAAGGTCAACATGTTAGTATTCTTCCATCTGTGGAGAGTCTCTGCTTGATCGCCAAAGCTAAGTTGGTATTGCTTTTTCAGAATTTTCAAAGCTTTCCTTCTAAGAATAGGGTTTAAAGTTAAGTGGATAGATACATAAAGATTTATTATTCTGTAACCCTTCTTCTATATGTCTATAATTTTCTATAGCAAATATACTATAAATAAGTGTCAGGTAGTATCAATGAATTTAGTTTTTTAATGTTTTAGTGGAATATCATACTTATATGGAAGCAGCTTGAAAACCAGTCTACATTCATTCATAGATCTTTTGGATTTTAGAATGATAAGAATCTTTAGATAACATTTTATTGAACATAGATTGACATTGCTTTCAGTTAATAGAGCAATGTCATAGCCTATATCTTATTTGCAAATCACAGAATCTGTGATTTACAGATAATCATAAGGTAAAACCTCTGTCTCAAAGCATACTTTATTAATTTGAGTGAGAATTTAGCTTATTAGGTAAAGGTAAAGGCCCTCCCGTTGATCATCGATTTGCTCGAGTGGGCCCAATAACGTCTCCATTGGAGACTTTGTTGATACTGTGTCTGGCATATCGAATACGTCACTGGGAGCTTGCCAGGCTCTGCCGTACGGGCGAGATACTCTTGGTAGCTTGCGGGGCTCTCCGAGAGGGGCGGAGGAATCGAACTCGGGTTGGCCATGTTGGCTGCGTGCAAGGCAAACGCCCTACCGCTGTGCTATTGCTCCAGCTTATTAACAATCATAAAAATTTTACATAATCCATATAGAGTAGTATATTCAAGGTGATAAATTTGTTTAAAAGTATTGATTTTACATACATATGTATCAAATTCCTCAAGACAATTGCAGGTATATCAGTGAAAATAACAACAAAACATATTCAAGCTATATGTCAATTTCATAAATTTCATCCTCCTAAATTTACTCAAAGATCATCAAAAAGTAATAAAGAAGAAGTACTTTTTATGCTCTCAAAGTATAGAACATTTCCTTGTGAACTGTAAAGTACCAATGTCATTATACTTCCCCCTTTTACAAACTGAAGAATTAGCCCATAAATGAGCAGAGGATTTTATTATCTGGTAGCCCAGAGTAAATGGAATATTTTATACCAATAATCCCCCACTTATTGACTCACTGACACACATTTTTTTAAAGGATATCTTTAACAAAACTCCAATTTGGGTGCCAGAGAAATAGCTCAACTGAATGCATTCTTTGCAGGAGGACCAGATTTAATCCCAAGCATTACTCCTAGCAACTCCAAACACCAGCAAGTGTACCACCAAACAAACAAAAATCTCATCTTTTGAAACAACACTGATATGTGAGAAGAGATAGAGTAAGGTATACATCTGAATCCAAAGTATCCAACATACATACATAATAATATGCCTCTGAGTTTTGGATGACCTTTTTTTAATATACAAAAAGCACCCTTTATCTCATTTTCTCCCAAAACTTTACGCCAGTTATTCTTCCCATTTCCCCGTCATTTCCTCTGTGGAAACACTAGTCCTGAGTAAAGGGTTAGGAAATCTGGTGCCACATTGATCCATTTTCCTCCACTGGGCATGGAATCGGGGCAAGCTCACAAGAGACAGCGGCAAAGGGAATGAGGCTGCAGGAGAGGTTTTCTCCCAGAACTGGAGGAGATGTAGTAATCTCCCCTCTAATCTCAGGATGACGTCACTACTCTGACTTCTGTCTCTCTGATGTGCTCTTCTATCACAGCTACAAGCATGGAAGCTGTCTTAGTTCCCTGATAACATTCTTCTCATTCTCTGAATACTTCCTTGTCTTTCCTGGGAACTCTCATGAGGTCTGTTCCTTTACCTAGAAACCAACAGTTCATGAAGGAGCCACTTTAGATGACAATAGTATAAGAGGAAAGTCAGTCCAGCAAGTATGATTTTTTTGGGAACAATAAACCTACAGCCTCCATAACACCCAGAAAAATTAAAAAAAAACATGTATTACATTTATCAAATTATAAAACAACAAATTTCTTATTTTAACAACATAGAGCTCAGTTGCCAAGTAACAAAACCCACAAGTTCTCCATATTTTCCGTGAACTTTCAAATTCTGTGTCTCTGCAATGTTGAAGGCTAGGAGGAACTTGTTACTAAATATATAGCATGTCCTTCCAATAAGAAATTTGGGGATTTCTCAGAACAATTTGGGGATCTTAAGGGGTGATTGAAAAGTCACTGCTGGCTTTTCCTTGCTGAGTTGCTGATTCTGTTATTAATGAGAGACAAAGACTAATTGTTCCTCCTTGAATGTTGAATGTTGCTTTGAGAAGTCAGGAACACTTCTGAAAAGATAGACTATTATCTCTAGTTAGTTAAAAAGTGGCCTTTGGAGAATATAACTAAGACTCTAATTTTTTTTGCAAGTAATTTTTTAGAAATCCCCAAAAGTTGCAATTTTATTCAGTACATAGAACTAGATTTCCACTCTTGCACATTTTTCCTGTTCCACATTCATAGTAAAACTAATAACTTCCTACTTTAAGTTACTACACATATTATTTCCATTATAAAAATCTGTCGGGGGATCACACATGGTGGTTCTGAGGGCCTATTCCTGGCTCTGTGCTCAGTGATCACTCCTGGAAGTTCTTAGGTGACCATGTGCAGTGTCAGGGGTCAAAACAGGGACATTTAATACAAGTCAAGTGCCTAAACCTTTGTATTATTTCTCTGTCCCTCACACATTATTTTCTATACTAGGTTTCGTTACTCACCGTATATTGTCCTACTATTACTACAATTGTTCATTTGTTTCATTTCTTGTTGGATCACAAGCTTTCAGATAGAACTTATGCCTTTTCCACATTCTCCACTAACCTAGGAAAATTCTCTACATAATAAGTGACTAAACATTTCAGATATGCTTAAGTTAAAGGAGAATAAGAACAAGGAGATAGATCAAAAGAAAGATCTATCTTTCCCTGTTACATGCAAAATTCATAGTTGAATCTCTAATACCTCATGTTTTCCTCTTGCACCATCTAACTTAGGCCTGATGGCCCCAAGCACTATAAAAACAAGTAATGAAACTGTATGTTGTGAGCATGAGGCTAAATATATTGGGAAATGACCCCTTTGACCCCAAACACCACTGGGGAGGTCTCCTAAAAATTATCTTCTGAAAATATCCTCCAAGTTCCCTATTTACTTCCCTAAATATCTCTTTGCCTCCCTCTCAAACCCCTTACCCTCCACACACAAACTTCTATAAATACTAAAAGGAAAAGTCTATTCTTGACTTCCATTTCCCCCAACTCCTAACTTCCTTTGAACAGTTATGATTTCTTACAGTAAAATATATTAATAACAGTAACTGGGGACAGAGAGATAAACCAGCAGTTAATGTTCTTGCCTTGAATGTAGCCAACCTGGGTTTTGTCCCCACTATATCGTATGGTCCCCTGACTCTAGCAGGAGTGATCCCCGAGTGTCAATACTACTGCTACTCCTACTAGTACTGCTAATAATAATAATAATAATAATAATAATAACAGTTTCTGCTCTTGATGTACTATGATTCTATAGAATTACCACTCCCTGAAAAGGAAATAAAATTATTTATATTTTCAGAAGACATGATGATATACATTGAAAACCTTAAAGAGTCCTCTCAAAAGTGTCTAGAAATAATAAACCAACACAGTAACATTACCTGATAAAATTCAGTACACAAAAATCAGTTGCATTCCTATATACAAATAAGGAATCAGAGGAGAAAGATATTAAAGACTCTATCCCATTTAAAAAAATACCTAGGAATATACTTAATCAAAGAGACAAGAGACTTACAACCAGCAGGATCAAAATACTCAAAAAAGAAATTGAAGAAAATCTTAGGAAATCTTAGGAAAATCTTAGGAAAAGCATTCCATGCTCATGGATTGGAAGGATCAACCATCCTACCTAAACTACTATGCAGATCCAACGAAATCCTTATCCAAATTTAGAAAACATTCTTCAAGTTTGATGGCCAACAGGTACATGAAAAAAATGCTCATCATCACTTATTATTAGGGAAATTCAAATTAAGATGACAAAGATGGGGGGGTATGGTGCCGCCAGTAGGTCAATCTGTACCTGTGAGGTGAGTGTATCAGCAGCCTGATGGCAACATCAGACTTTCAGATACCCCAAAATTGCTGCTGTGCCTTTGGCCAGGCTCCAAAAACTTGGGGCAAAGTTTACCAAGAAAGTAAATG